GGTGTTGTCTACTTTATAAAAAAAACCAAAGCGCGTCCTAAAGTAGTAGCTCAAAATTCTAAAGGCACTGCTGAAATTCCAATGACATCAAGGACGAATGCCGACAAACCGTAATGCGACAGCAAGACCTTGAGTGGCCTAATTGATTTTTAATATAAATAAACTCAATAAATTAATATGAATCTGTGCAAGATTGTCCAAATTTTAATTGTACTAGAGTGCCTTTTTTACTATTTGAATAATAATAAATAGATGAAATGGGACATTCTAATCAGAATGCCTCGTTCACAAAAGAATACCGAAGTTTTTATTCTTTTGATTCGTGAAATTTATTCGAAAAACAACTCGCATCAATCTTTTTCTTTTCTTGGTAGTTTTTCAGTAGGAAAGACGGTTGCAAGACAATGTTATTCTTCATATATGTTAATTGTCAAATACAAACAAGAATAACACAACAAATGCATGGCTCATCTATTTCACACGCCATGAGCATCTTATTTTGCCATTGCCACTATACATGTTGTAACTTTTGCGTAATCATACAAGTAAGTTTATTGATTTTCATAAAAAGAACCATTTATACACCATAGCGTTTAGTATTTTTGTAAAATTTATGTAACCCATTTGTAAATCCTTTTTTCGGAACAATCATTGTTTTTCTATTCAAAACGAATCTAGTCATGCTATCAAATTCTATTTAAATCCGAATAAACGTTTGTTTTTCGCAACTAGGTTCAAGCAAAAAAGACCTCATATGTCAGATTCAGATTTGTTGTCTAGACACTAATTTCTCTATCAATATTTTAAGTTGATACATTATTCACTATGTGCAATTTCGAGACATCTGAACAGTGATTTAATGGTGGGAAAAAGAAGCAGATCAATTTGCCGATTTGTACTTCAAAGTTGTTAATGATACATATTCGTAATGTCTTTTTTAATGTCTTTTTTGCTTTTAATTGCATAGTAGACAATCGTCTATGGTTTTGTAGAGAATTGAATACTGAGTTATTTAAGAAGAAACTTAATCTATAACTACTAAAATAAATAGATATATTGAGAAAATAGTGAGAGACTCATTTGTTCTGATGCACCCGTTATTACTGTATGGCCGATCTGAGTTTCATAGACATTAACTTAAATAATATATTGACAAGAGTATTGACTCTTTCTCTAGTAGACAGTACTAGGGCAAGTCTTTTGAAGCTTAGTAAACCTTCGTCTAACGTCATATCGATTTTTAAGATTGAGTTTTCTAAAATAATAAGTACGATGAATAAAGAGACTTTCATATTCTCATAGGAATGCCCAGTTTACAATGGGTGTACTCACTTTTGTGGATAAAATTTACTAAAAACTGGATCTATACATATGTGTTATAAACTACAAATGGTGTCATTCGTGTATAGATATAACTTAATGATATGTATTGAACACTGCAATCATTTTTGAATGACTAGTAAGAAACGAGAAGTTTCTTTTGTTTTTGTCCAGAATGCCTTATCGAAAGCCAATACTGTGGGAATGTTCTTCCAAATGTTGATTGATTTGACGGTCTCATCGGCTCCTTTTGTATCCATCTCAGATATGAGTCATTCCAACGCAGAAGAAGAAATTCTTTTCTCTATACACACTGTCTTTCGAATCGATGATTTTAAACAAATCAACAACCATCAGTCTTTTTATCAAGTAAACCTTATACTTACGTCGAATGATGATCAACACCTCTGTGAACTTACCGAACATATACAAAAGAAGACGGGGGATTCGACAGGTTGGATACGGTTGAGTAAATTGCTACTCACAATAGGCCAATGTAACAAGGTCGAAGGACTTTAAACAGTACTATTGGAACAGACATCCGATTCAATCACAAAAGTGCATTATTATCATCAGCTTGGATATATTTAGAACAAACAAGGCGAATATCAAAAGGCTATTGAATATTACAGACAAGTCCTTGAAATATGTAAGGATGCTCTTCCTGCAAATTATCCTGATTTGACTACTTCGTACAACAACATTGCTTGTTTGTATGAGAGCATCAAAGATTCGTCGAAAGCCCTCTCATTTTACGAACGTGCTCAGAACATTCGACAAGGTTCACTATCTCCTAATGGTCCCCTTCTTAAAGATGTACTCGAGAGAGTTGAAATTGCAAGAAAAAAACTATACACTTGTTTTCATTAATAAAAAAATCATTTTTGACTGACACCAATTCATTCTTTTTTTTTCTGCTATTTGCATGCGCCTGTGTTCAGAGAAACTCTCTGTAAACAATTGAGACGCAACTCACAGAGTCGACCAGCAAAGTTTTTCTATAATAAATAGCATTAATGTGCTTTGATTACTCATTAGTTGTATCAAGAACAAAAGAGAAAAAAGAAATCATTCATAGGTCGCCAGCCTAAGCAATTTCGTTGGTGAATATTAATCTTCTTATTATGAAATTGAATAGTTAGTGAATTAAAAGAGCAAGCAGAATGATTCATCCTGTCAATGCAAATGAATTGAAAAATATAAGAATGTCGAATTCATATAGATGTAATTTCATGGCATCAATATGAAATAGATTCAAAAATTAATTACTGATTGTACTGACTTTGTATCAGAGATGCCTATCATGATGGGAAATCTGCCACTGATGCGCCAACATGACCGGATTTCAATTTTTTTCCAAAAATCATTGCTATCAAGGTACTAAATTAGTATCCTTGTTATTGATCGATCACATTCATTCATCCTCAAAAATATGGCAGTCGCGGATATCAAAGTTCTGTACAGAATTCATGCAGTTTCGTTACGTAATCTAAAAGAAGTCTGATATTTATCTTCTTCAGTTTCTTCTTCATTTTTTCATCATTACATTTTTCACATGAACATAGACGAAAATAGAAAAAAAAAAGGTTCATCTAGAAAACACTCAGATTAGTATTTATTATATATTTTGTTGATCGTATTTGATCGATATCAATTCATTATAAGCTATTGATCTTTGACACTTCAGTTTTTGTTTTCATAAGAATTCAAACCTTTTGGAGCTTCTATGATAAAGTTGCATCATCGATCAACAACAATGTCTGGATTTGAGGAATCCATGAATACTACTCTACGAAACCAGAAAAGTGTTGCTAAAGAAAACTTGCGCACTTCAAATGACTAAAGAGACGCAAGAAACTAAAAGTGTTGAAAGATAAAAAAAATATAAAATGTATAGTAGCTTAACAAGCATAAAAGTAAAACGAAATAAATTTTATTTGTTGTGAACTCCTCGTTGCTCGATGTTTGCGGAACATAAAGGATACTGATGATGAAGGAAGTCACCTAATCGCTACCTTAAGACTCTCATAAATGTGATTTAATTTTCCCGATATTAGCGTATATCTACTGTTCGAAAATTGGTTTCTCTTAAAATAAGAAAAACGCAAAAGTGATTTTCTTCACAGAAAATTAATAGAAGAATCGGTTAAGAGTTTCGAATAGAATGCCTATAACTCCTGAACGAATAAATCTAAAAGTCTGGACCTTTCACTGTTTTGATAGTCTTCATCTAACAGTTCGAATACGCACCTGATTATTGAAAATTGGCCTTAGTCACTTGACGGAATATGTTGGTTTTCAAAAACGTCGATTTATGTCCTTGAAAAAACTAGGTCAAATTATTCTGTAAAATACCGTTTGATGCGTTTCCATCAAAAGTTACTCAAAAAAATATTCACCGACCTTTTTTTTTGAAACGGGCAATAGTAAAAATATTAAATTTTTCTGATACAGCAGTCAACAAAAGTAGTAAGCTAAGCTAAAGTGAACCTTAACTTCAAGCGTTCTGGTTGAAACTTTTACGGTTGATGGACCTCTATTAATGCGGATTCTAAGCACTAATCCAAGGTCAATCGATCAAGGTGGAGCGGAGTTAAAGACGAAAAAACTATTTCTTTTTTTTTCTCGACTGAAAAAAACAACTCTCGTACGAATTCACTCATCATTCGACATCACTAGATTGGTGACGTTCTCTGTTTAAGATTTAATGCAAAAGTGACTGAATCTTCTTGAACGAGAAAGAATTCTCAAGATCTTATTGGTATGATCGATGGTTGCTATTAGTTTAAAAATAAGTTCACTATAACTTGACTTCGTTGCGGTCATTCATTTTGAGATTTCGACAAAAGAAGTAGCCAGTATTAATTATCGGCTCGAGTTTCATTTAATATAACACTGAAAAAACATTAGATTCTCACGACATTCAATCTCAATATTCCATATTTCCAATCCATCAAAAATCACTATTTGAATATCCAATCGGCCACAAGAAAATCATTGTGAACTTGAGATGATTTGGCCTTGTTGCAAACATGTCGAATTCATAGAAGAGAATTGCACGACTGATGTCAACTTGTTTATAGAAATTTTTGTTTTTCTTGTATTCTTTTTCAGAGTTATACCGTAGTAGCGCTTCGGTTTTAGACATTTGTTTATGATTTATCTGTTTTTACATGATTTCAATATAGTTATTTCACATGACTTGAGTGTGTTCTGTTACCTGTAAAACATTCTTCAACGATGATGAGTCATATTGTGAAATACGAAATTGGTAATGAGTGTTGATGTTGATATACTATATTTATCTAAGCAAGCGAAGAATAAATCGATGAATCACGAAGTAGTAACTTACGGATCAAATGGGTGAATGGATGTGAATGAGTGCATGCATATATATATGTTCGTTCTACTAGATTGGTGAAAGAAATTGACCAATTAGGTGAGACTAGAGAGCCGATATTCCATATAAGTTTTTTTTCTTGTTTCATGAAAAGTGAAACAATTCGAAGAGCTATGTTAGAAAATGTAAATCTGAAAATGAAATCACTAAAATTTCGTCTATCAAAATGACTCTATCATTGTCGAATGGCAATTTTTCGCTACGTCATACGATAATATACAAGAATCTACTGTTTTTCGTATATTTTTTTTTTCATATTTGACCTCAATCACCTTCGATAATGTTAACTCGATTTATTGCCGTTGCTCATCGGCCATCAATATCAATATCACTTCGTCTATTGAACACAAGTACATCGAAATTGGCTGATGGTGATCATACATTGTCCAAAGCATTACACAAGGCTGTAGACGATATGAAAGCAGGTCTACAAAAAACATGGTTGGACACGGTGGCTACCGATAGTGGTAAGGAGATTAATAGTTATATATATATTCTTCTAAATAGAGTATGTTCATTGCAGAAGCCATCGTCAAAGGTGAAAAGCAATATGATAGAAAACTTGGTGATTTGAAGAAAGATATTACAGAACTTCAATTAGATACGATTGAAGCAATTCAAGAAAAAGCATCTAAAGGCTATTTGCATCAGTATGATGTTGGTCGACGTGATGCACGTGAAGAAAGAATTGATATTGATGTTACTGTACATGATAAATACGAAAAGAGAATAGATATTGATGTTGGTCGACAAGATGAACAAAAAGAAAAAGTTGATATTGATATCACAGTCAAAACACATACTGAACAAAAATACTAACATGATTTTTTTTTTCATTCTGATCGAAATCTTCAAACAATTACACTTTGACATCTGATCTGTTATACTTTATGTTTTATAAGCTTCTAAACATTTATTGATTATATGTTTATTTAATCTCAGTCAAGAAAGTCTTCGTACAAAATATTTGTTTATTTTTTGATCATTTAAAAGTATCTTGAGAAAATGAAAAATAGTCAGTTAAAATCAGAATTTGATGCTTTTTCTAAATATATCATTAGAATTTTCCGCTGACTCACGGCTAGCTAGCGGTAAGCAAAAGTTAAATCAATGAAAAATGCAGTTTGTATCATGCAAATAAACTTTTTATTCATTCATAATTTCTCGAAAGGGTATGTAGAAATAGCTTTTACTTTGTAATGTTGTAGAGAACTCAATGTTCCACAAAATCAGCTGTTGATATAAGCTTTTTCATGTTCATCAAAGATTTGCTCTCGATGATTCAACTTCAAGTTAGAAGAAAATTCTGAATACATATTTAGAGAGAACGCCAAATTCTAATTCTAACTGACTACTTCTCATTTTATCAAGTTAATTCAAAGTGGATGAAAAATGAACAAACATTTGATACGAAGACTTTCTTGACAGATGTTACAATGATTTTACTTCGCATATTTTCATCATTTTTCTATGTGCTAATAAATTTTCTATTGAATAAACATGGTTACCATAAAGAATATGTGTTATCAAAGTTGTTACATACAAAATAAATATTTAGTTGATGCATCGAAACATAATTATAGGTAATTTCGTTTTTATACAATCTTTAATCATTTTCAATGAACAATCAATTAGTTGATGTTGTTTAACAAATGCTTGCATTATATGTTCATAAAATCATATTAAACATGAGTTATCAGCTAAATTTTGATTCTTGGTTAATAGTTCAATAATCGGATTAAAATATCTAAATTGATTTGTATTTCATAGATTCACTTTAGTTAACAAACACTTTACAATAAATTTTTTGAAATGTTCATCATATATATATATGATGAAAAATATTCATTTCAGGTATAAAATAATGTTTGAAACATGTTTTTTTTTCGAAACGTACAATTATATAATTTATAAAATCTAGAAAACGATCATAGAGTGTCTCATATATCGACACTGTTCCTTTTCTATTTATTCACATAACGAATATAAAATTGTTTTTAAACAATAACTACATATCACTTATGATAATATCAAATTTTGTTTAATATATAAATCAGATAGAGCTTTAGCAATTAAATAACAGTTTCTTTGATAATAACGAAATGTTTTAGCTATTAATAATTCACATATTGAAAATGGTAATTGTCATTCTATTAATTAAATTTTTTTCGTTGGAAATACATAGAGGATTGGTGCTAAATGACAACTAAATTTAACAATTGAATTAATTAAATTTTGATCTGACCAATAATTTAAACATGTATGATTAATCCAATTTTGTGCTAATCTATGCTAATGAATACGTTTTAATGATGCAACATGATTCATTGATAGAGGCAATTTTGGATCTTCGGATGTTATATATATTGATGGACCATTCATTCCTAATTGTTCATTATAAACTTTATCTATCGAACATTGATCTTTAAATCTATGCACAAGATCAGATGATAAAAAATATTTTCTATATAGATCGATAAATTGAGCTGAAATAACATATTTATTTGTACCTGAAAGTAGTAAAAGATGAATTGTTGAATAAAAATAGAGTGTAACATAACACGAATATTTTTTATTACTATCATTCATATATAAAAATCGAATTTGATTAAAAGTTTCGTATTTTTGACGTTCTTCAGATGTAAATTGTTCAGATTCAACAATATAGATATGTGGAAATTCAAATATTAGAGCAATATCTGATTTAGCATGATTTGAAAAGGATAAATAAAACTTTTCAGCACTACTATCAAAACGTATATATTGACATCAACTTAAATTTGAATATTCAGTAAGTTTTTCACCTATAAAAGTTTCTTCATTATCTTCATGTTCATTTACATTTAATGACATCATAAAATGTTCAAGAATTAATGATAAAAGACGATTTCGATCATTCGTCATTTTGTTTTTTTTTTCAAATAGATTTTTAATTAGAAGAAGAAATCTTTTTCAAATAGCATTGTTTTGTCAGGTAGAATCCACCTGCACCGTTATTTCTCGATAAAATTACATGAGCATCGACATCGCCGCTTTCGAATTATTCGACAAAAGACGATAAAAGAACGTAGTGAAATAAAATAGGAATGCATACGAGTGAAAGTGCTGTCGATAAAATGAGACTCAAGTGATGTCATGTATTCTATATTCATGGTGGAAAACTAATAAAAAATATGGCGTCTTCAAATGCACAAAAAAAGGGGGCGTGAGTGTTGGTGTGAATGGATGTGGAAAAGAACTGGCACCATACACCTACACTCACACCTGCAGTGCGATTTTTTATTAACGCGATTCAATTAAAACGAATTTTTAATGAATACACAGATACTTTAACTCTAAGAAAACAAGAGATTAATAGCTAATGTGCTATTGCTTTACATCATGCATTAAATAATCTCTTGACATAGCCTCATATTTGAGTTGTTTTTGTTCAACACTTCATTTAAAATCGGGTGATTAGATGATCAAGAAATTTCGTTAGGCAAGTACTATTTTATTTCGAAAGTGTCCTTCTCGAAAGCTGTTTTAGAAGAACCCAGATTTCCTATAAGATCTGATATATGGTTAAGATGTGAGTGAAGAGAGGGAACTGACACCTACACCCACACCTTCGAATGCACCATTAAGAAGCAAAATAATCATCATAATCAATCGATCGATATGATTACTTTGGTTCTCATCTACTAATAAAATGGATGTTACCTTGATAAGCAAAAGACATTCTTCTTCAATCACAGTTAGACTTATTTTTAACTATATTGTTACTCAATCTTGTTAAGCTACATGTTTCACTATTGGATCTAAACCTTTCCAGTCGAATTTTGTTGTTGATGACTATGGGACACGCCGCATAAGATACAATACATATGTACATACTTCTATTGAACGAATTTCGTCAGATAATGCAACAAGTATTCAACACGTATCATACTGTTGGAACAAATATATTACAGATTATAAAAATTTTCAATGAAACCTATTGATAGACGTCATGGTCAAGCTGACTTTCTTTGAATTTCAGTTTATAGCAGAAAAAACTAGTGGTAGTAAATAGTATGGTATATTTCCAAAAGTCGAAATGAATTTACATATGACAAGCTATTTACATATTTTATTTTTTTTTTATGTATCAAAGAACTTATCAAAAACTATGAGCATCACTTCACATAAGAGTGTTGCTGATGTGGTTTTTTTGGAGGAAGAAAAAAGATGGCGAAAGGATACGAAAAGAACGTACAATGTCGTGAAATCTATTGCAGGAAAGACAAAAAGTATGTCAATAGAACGCTTTTTTTGCGTTCTTTTATAGAGAGCTCTAACAAAAAACTTGACAGTAGTGGGATTCGAACCCACGCCACAAGTGACCAGTACCTGAAACTGGCGCCTTAGACCGCTCGGCCATACTGTCACCTTGATTTGAATAGAATTCCCAATTTACTCTTATATTTTGCACAATAAAGTGATACTTATTACTTAGGACCTATTTACAAGCAAGATTCAGAATGGAATGAGATGGAAGAAAAAAAATCAATGTATGTAATATCTATCTTTGCTGAAAGACTTTTCTAAGCTGAAACATATTAAGCGATTCCCATAGTTTTCGTGAGTATCCTTTCATTCGGCAACTAGTTATTTCACCGATAGTGACTGAAATTCATCGAATTCTATACAAGTTTATGACCAAAAGTATACGAGGCAACTAAGATGTCACCCTATCCACCAGGGTGTGGGGTGTGGGGGTGTGGATGTGGATGAAGTTTAAAAAAAGACCCATACTCACATCTACACCCACACCCAGACTTCTATAGGCTTGATTTTGATCTAAATCACCTCTCCTAAAATCGTGATTTTGGCTCAAATCGCATTTTTGATGAAGATCTCCTGCGCCATGGACACTAACTATAGAGCTGAGTTTTTTATGAGGTTTCTTAATCAAAGAGATTGCTCTCCAGTCAAAACTACAGCTTTTCAACATGATCCGCTCTTGGGATAGGTCTATGCACAAAACACTGAAAAATAACAATTTTTTCATGCACTTGGTAGCATGGGTCAACGTCTCGATAGTTCATTCATTTGAGCTCATTGTTTTTCGTTAATTTAGAATCATGATATCTATTAATAATAAAAGTTTCAAGCAAAACGGATATTTTTGTTCAGGAGATATTAATGCCATAAAAAGCCGCAAAAAATGTCGTTTTTTTATGAGAGTACTCTCAGAGAAATTTTAATATCTCGAAAACGGAACACTATTTTTTGAAACGTTTTGCGTCGAAATTCATCAAATACTTGCCCTTAAAACATATAATTTTTCAAGAGCCGATAGGAGTGTTACAACACATAATATTCACTCTTTAAAACTTTTTCTGAGCTGATTGTTTTCTTTTTGAGAGATCATTTCAGCTCTTCAATTAGCATTACTTTGATTTCGAGCCTGATCTCGCTTCATTTCTTGAGTTAAATGTTTCCAATAAGGACGATGAAAAAGTTCCAATGGAAACTATTTTGAAGCCAGTTATAGTTAGAATCGATTAGTGAAATTCTTTTTCACATTCTTTTAAGTCAACTTGCGAAAGTGTTGTGTAGCCAAATCTTGTCATTAGTTCTCGCTGTCATCCAACACTTTCTCGATGATGAATAATCTTCATCATGCTAAGGGCAGTTGCTCGGCATATTTCTTTCGGCTTTGATTTAGCCAATATCTTATGTATAAATTATTTCTTTTTGAAACGCTTTAACAATCTAGATTGAAATTACAGCACTATGATCAATCAACAATTGTATCGTTCTTTGAAACGACGTCTTTTTAAAAGAGAAAAAAAAACCAATGATACAGGATAGAAGATCATTGAAAAAGAAATTGACGTTCGATATATTTTTTAAATGAAGTATTATTTTTGAAAGTCTTTGTACAATATACATGAAAGACAGTCCAATGTCGATTTTTACAACATGTGTTATGAAAGGTGAGTCTAGTGTTACTTATTTGACGCAAAAACGAGTACTCTCTAAAGAAAAGGTATCATACTGAACCCTTTCAGGTTCTAGCAAAATATGGCCTATATGTGTTTATCAAGTTGCCTGCTTGTGTAGACGTATATTTGTGTTCATCACAATAAAACAACGTGAAGGCATGAACTCATGTCACAAAAACCGGATCAGTTTTAGCGGTAAACCCGCGGTTTTTCTATGTTAAGGAGCCGGTAACCGAACCGCTAAAACCGCGATTAACGCCGATATTTGCCCGGTTTTCATCACATGGGCATCTGTATTCCTATCTCTTGTCTCTATTCATCTCCCCGTGTTAAATTGGGAACCAATATATTTTTTATTCTTAAAACTAACGTAAGCGCGACGAAAGTTAAGTGGCTCGAAAAGAAAAATAGCGGGTGAATGATAATAAATGGCCCACTTTTGCATTTCATTTTTCCATCGCCTGATACGTTGTATTAAAAAAAAAATATATCACAAGATGCAGCGTCAAAAGCTCTAAAGTTTACAAAGAAAATCCTATTTTTATTGTGTCCTTTTTGTTTAAAAAAATTCTGTGAGCTGAGTCTTCGGAATGACAAAAATTGATCGCACTGAGTTTTGCTTTTTTTTTAGAAAACAAAACTATACAATTAAAATAAGCTTTACTTTGTAGATTGTAGAGCTTTTCATTTTGGTTTTTTAACACAACATAGTAAGTGCTGGAAAAGTGCAATGCAAAAATGAGCCATTTATTATGGGTCATTCGTTTTATCTCAGTCTAGATCATAGTCTCAAGAACAGAATCTCGAAATGCGTTATAATGTATCAATAAGAGTACATCGAAACAAATTGTTTTTAACTTCTCATCGTAGTCATTCACGACCGGTGAAAAACGTTTCTCAGCCTGCGTTGACTTGCTGGAAAAGTCTTTTTTTGCCTTTGATTTCATTTGAAAGAAATTTGTAATATCCATGGAAGAATTTAGTAAAGAATCTAGTATCATCAATATCCATGATTCATTATTAACGAAAACGTGGTTATTTATAAAGGGGAAAATGGAAGTAAAAGGAAGGTGGCTATTTCTTGGTGAGTTTCAAGCTATATAGTAGGATATGCTTGGAAAGAAGACAGTTACAGAAAGATAGAACAACGAATAAGAAAAAGAGGAGATGAGAAGAGTCGAAAAAGGAAGAGAACATGAATGGCAGAAAAGAAAAAAAACACCAAAAGTTACAATGTGTACCACATTTAGCGAACAAATATTGTATTTTTTTTTCTTACAAATTCTTTTTCTTATTTATAAATAATACAAGAATAATTGTTGGATATACACGCAAAAATAACAGGTTAAAAATGAACCACAGTCGTATATTAATGTTTAGTGGTATTCTACTATTTTTATCCGGTTGTATTATAGCTGGATTATTTACATCCTCTGGTTTTCTATTTAAAAATTATAAAGCTGGTGTTGGTGGACATGTTGAAGCACAATTAAATGGGATCTTTTTATTGTTAATTGGTGTTTCATGGCACCATTTATATTTAAACGAGAAATGTAAATTAATAACACATATATGTTTACAAATAACTGGTTGGTTACATCCAATGACATACTATTGGGTTGCATACACTGGTCATCATTATAATTTGTTACGGCAAGCAACAATAGATGCAAAAACATTACCGTCGAGTTTAGATGAATTTATATTTAATTTTGTCTTAGTTGGAATTGTTTCAGGCTCAATGATGATGGCATTAATCTTACTCTTGTGGGGATTTCGAGTTGGTGGTCCAACTAGACAAAGTGACTTTGAAGTTAAAAAACAATAAATTGTTATTTCAGTGTCTTGCTTTCTTCTAAGGCTTATGCATGTGTAGTCACTGTAATATATAAATTCTGTTTCAACTTTTTAAAATAATAACCTAAGATTTGAATAAGGTGAAAAAGTAAATGAAGTAGGTGTGGGTATGGAGAAGTAAAGATGTAGCAAGCATACGCACACTCTTCTATAAAATAAATTGCCAAAAGATTGTCGCTTTTATATAAACAATCTGTTCGATTGCAGGGTTAAAAGTGTTAACTATTTACAAGAGAAAACGTTCGGAGAGAAATGAAAACGCAAGAACAAGTTAGGAAAGAAGAATTACCTTGTTGCTCCCAATCGTATGATCTACAGAGAATCATTTATCAATTTGTATAAAAATATTGATATGATGAATAAAAATAGGTCTTCAAGTCCCAGAAGTATAGTTGATTTTGGTAACTGTTCTGAAGTTATTAAACGTGTTCTTTAATGTTCTTTTTTTAAAGTATAACTTTGATACGAAAGACTCTTTTGTCATTTCTCATTCTTATTCAGATGATTCAATTGATTTTTGCTTTTCGAAGACTAAAGATTCTCTCGCACAAAGAAATCTTTCAGGTAATAAAAACTTTTTTGAACCCAAATATTGTCCAAAAATACAAAAAATATATAGACTAGAAAAGCTTTAGAAGATATGGTGCAAGTTAAAATTTAGCTGAGTGTTTTGCTTCTTGTCATGAATTTTGTGCAGTACTACACTTTTCCCATCCTATCAAAGTTTCAAATTATGACCTAGAGCAATGTCCACAAGAATGCTTACATCAGATCAGGTTGTCTTAAAAGCTTTGAATATTTTGAACGAATTATCTTTGACATAAAAGTTTGTTAAAATATTCATAACCTTCTCAGTAAGAGACTTTTATGTGGATAGTATCAGATTACAATCCGAAACTTTGTAGAAATCGAGTGCTACAGGAAAATGATACAAAAACATCAATATCTCAACTAAATTGTACTTACACCGAATTGTTTAACAGAAGCCATTTCCGAAACACAATTGACAAAAAAAAGTATTTGATCTGTAAATTACTTTCATATTTTTCAAGTAAGTTCTGCATTACACGTACCAAGTATTGACTCAAAGACTCGAAATTTGTACACGTAGCAGAGACTATTCCGACATCGCTTCATATAATCAATATTTGACTTCATTTTACAGGCGGTAATTATCGTAGATTTCAAATTGATTTTAACTATGTTAAAAATGCCAGCATTATGATTACTTGTACAAGATTTCGTTGTTCATATCATTTCAATTAAATTCATGAACTAATATCCTTTAAGAATGCTTTTAACACTTACATGGTTCTTTATTCTAGGTTACCAATACATATTTAAAAGATTTTTTTTTTTACTTGCACGCATTTTTTGTCAATTATACGTATGTATAGATCTAAAGCTTTGAGAATCAATGAAACCTCTCACTTTTGTTTCTCTCTGAAATGATCAAATATTTGATATCATTGGACGTTCCTCGTCAATGAATTCTGATATAAATATGAAGTTTCAATGACTTTGTGATATACAAGAACCTCAACGCTTAATATTTCCAAGATTTGACAATAAACCATCATGAGATTAAAAGAATGTTTCATCTGATTTTCTTCTTCTTTTTCTCCATATCAATAACAAATCATCGTGATTTATAGGACCTTATCATCAATTTTGAGTGATGAAAAGAAGCCTAAACATAAATATTATACATCATACTAGCTGTGTTCTGTCTATTAGTTAAGGAGAAAACAATCCTTATCTTACTTTATAACTTGTGTATACTTAGTGACTATAGACGATTTGAAAGCCTTTAGAGAAAGGAAGCATATGTTTCTCATGACGTAATTAAGTGCTTAATACCAATGCTATCTGATCAGAATGCAATGGACATGACAAATCGAAGAAAAAGGAAGTAACGATAGCAATGTTTCATGTATAAAAATGGCTTATAACGTTCGTCTTCAATTCATTTTTCTATTTCTTATTACTTCGAAACAAATAATCATCAGCTATGACAGTCTTCCAGTTTCTCTTGACTACTTTCATTTTGAGCGCAACTCTTCATCAACAAGTGAATAGTCAACGTCTTGATTTAAGTTCATGTATATCTGGACAATGGGTTGCATGTGGTATCACTGTTGGCACGGCCATTTACAAGAAATATAATTCGTGGAGTGATGTCGATACCAAGCAAGCTTTCGGCACAACATGTCATTCACAATTCAAAGGCGGTTTTCATAACTGGCAATGGAAATGGAGTGGCAAATTCTGGTGTCCTTCATTAAGTTCAACTATCATGGGTGAAAGTACACAATGGAAAAGTCGGAATGGAGCTATCGAGCATGCTATTCAAGATTATGTCACGAAAATGACATCAGTTGGCTTGCTCACTGTGTCTCAACTCAATTCATAAAGAATTCTATTTCAATGACATCAATGATCACATATTTTTATCTGTTTTCATTCTTTCGAACTTTATGTACTTTTACTCATTTTTTCTTTCTATATAAAATTAATTTTTATATGTGAACCAAGACGAAAAAAGGTCAAGTTGGACAAAGATATATGCATACTTATGTGTGCATTATCGAACGTATTTAGATATATGAATATTGATGATGATTTTGAAGGCAGGCATTTGAATCATACTGAATGATTATCTCGCATGATTATTAGTTGCCATTTCGCTGTGTACACTTGAAAATGAGTCAAGAAACCAAGGATGATGCTTCATCAGCAATTTCTGTTTATGATAGAATAGATGGTTCGCCTGTTTTGCAATATTTATTTTGATCCTCTATCATTCGAATGGAATTAAAGGGACATGATGTTGACAATACTTTAGGTATGAGAAAAACAGTTATAAAATACAAAAAACGATACTTTTTTTTGCCATTGATTCATGTAAGATGACTTAACATAGAAGCTTGAGACGCATACACTGAAAACAAAAACTGTAGAATAATAAACGAAAATGAAAACGTTCAAGAATTCGCTATTAAACAACAGCGAATCCTTGCAAACGCTATAGAAAACCTCATAAACCCTTTCAGAAACGATTTCATATATTTCATTTTACTTGCTCAAAAACAGTTTCTCAAGGATATTTTATACCGTTCATTATTTTCTTCAATCTTAAAAATGTTTACTATTGGTTGAGGTTTTTAAAGTCTTTTATGATTTTATTGCTTGAAATGGATGGATGGGACATGATAAATAGTTGCTTTTCATTTTTTATTCAATTAGTATACTGTAAAATAAAAAGAACAAAATATAGCACAAGACACAATGTGAATAAGCAATTTTTAATACTGCATGTATATCATCATATACTTGGTAAACGATCAAGTCTTTTCTTTTAGGTATCTCACCGATTGAAGACAATTCTATTTACTGATAAAAATACCTTTTTGTACTGCAAGACACGCACAGTGGTATTAACGAAACGGTTAAATATTCAAAATTAATTTTTGTGAGACTAGATGCTTCAAAAAATAGTCTTATTTCTTCCATTATTGTCAAACCTAGTGAAACATTATCAAACAAGGATTAAATGAAAGCTACTCTTTCACATGCACAAGTCGATAGTAAATGACTATTGAGCAAGAACTTCATATCTCAAGAAGACATTATCACATTCTATACACATTAGTATTGTACGAAGAATATTTCTTTCAATTCATTTGTAATCATGGATAGCCATCAAACAGCTTTGATCTACATGTTTTGAATTAGGGTGTGGGTGTGGATATAAATGTGGCATACCTTCACCCACACTCACATCCACGGTCGAAACGCACACCTTGAAAAAAATTACATGTATGGTTATTTTAACGCGTTTTGTTCGTCCTTGCCTTTGTAACATTGCATTTTCTTTCCATTCTTGAAATAAATAAAAACTTGCACAACCATGATGAAAGTTAGTAACACATTATCAATACATAAAGAAAAAGAAGTTTTGACAGGCATACATTATAGTGAAGCATACTGTTTGAAAGCAAGCAACATTAATGTCTGACAAAGTTTCTTCAACTTTCTTAACAGTACCTGTAGAGCTTATTTTTCGCATTCTGGACAATCTTGATGGTTTCACAATTTTTTGTTCTGTTCGTAATGTGTGTACACGATTGAATGCAATCGTTGATTCATATCATGGATATGAAGTAAGTTTTATCTGTATCATAGACTTTTATTTCAATCTTCTTCGAGATATTATTCAATTTAATAAATGATCATGCTGGTTATTTTACTCATAAATTTTAGAAAAGTAACAATTCGAGAATAACATATTGATTTGGATCAATATTACTTGAAAGAGAAGCATGAATTACATTATTCAAGCTATTTCAGAGAATTCTATTGAGTTTCTTATTTTTCAGCCAAGATTTAAGAAGCAGACAAGAAATTTAATCTTCTTTTAAAACGCATCAGATGCTTTCGTATGGAAGTTCTTTGATAGTTTATTAATAAAGGAATGAAATCTAACAAAAGTTCAGTACTTTCACTAAAAACATCAATGGTTTTTCATAACATCATTGTTTTAGAGAACACTCGATCTTGATCATTATGAAATTGCTGAAAAAGGGGCCAAAGATCTTGCCAATGCTCTCGTGAACGATACGGTAATGCATTGTTCGCTACTCACTTTTGTCTTAGCAATTAAAACATTTCCAATAGACAATCCTCACACTCAGCCTTGCATGGAATGAAACCAGAGACCAAGGGGTAAAGCATATTGCCAATGCTCTCAAAAATAACACGGTAACAGACCATTTGCTACTCATCTTTCTCTAGGCAGTTTAGAGTTTTCACACAGACACTGACCACACTTCACCTGGGCAGTAATTTAATTAGAGAGCATGGAGCAAGACATATTGCAAATGCTCTTCGAGACAACACGGTAATACACCATTCACTACTCAATTTTCTCTACATAATTTGGCGTTTTCACACAGAGTCTCATCACACTCG